CCAAAAAATAAGGCACTCCCAGCTGATGGCACGGAAATGGAGATCAGCGACCCACAATTAACTTCATGAAAAGAAGGGTTACGGTAATGGCCCCGAAATCAATGCGTAAGGAAAACCGACATTCCCACGGTTACAAACTTTCTTATTTGTTTTTAATCGCCCTCGAGACTAAGTAACTATCTTGATTCAAAGGCCGAAAACGTAAGGGAAGAAAAAAAGGAACATGAACAGACTGAAGAAGGTCTTTTCACACATACTCGAATATCGACCAATAGAGGTTTCAGGCACTAATCAATTTAGACAGAATATTTTGAGCAGGGAATAAAAAACAAAGTAGGTGAGTGATACCCATCGTTGTCTGAGTCAATCAGAGCGACTAGTTGATTTTTTAGCTGTACGAACGTTTCCCAGCTAGACTCGACCGTCGGCGAAACCAAACGCGTTTTCGACACCCACTAAAAAATCGTTTCAGCAAGAGGGCACGTAACATTTGGCGAACAACACCATTACCTTGAGTGCCAGCGGATACAGGTTGGCCATGGCTGACATAACTCTTTTTCTCACTTTCGAATTTTGATCAGACATTAGAAACGCAAGATTCACCGCAATCTTGCTCAACACGTCGGCATCCTTTGCACTAAGACATGGGTGGTAGAAATGTCAAAAAAACAGTGATAAAGCGAGAAAAAAACAAAAACAGTTGCATGGGAAGACAAATCGAAACAATAGCAGGTCGCATACCAAGCTGCTTCGATGAAACTGACGATAAACGTACGAATCTCGGGGGATGAGTCGTGTTGAAATCCAAGCATCTCGTCGAGAAAGTTGTCCAACAAATTTGAATCTTTGTATATTATTAATTCCTGAACCTTTCGCAAATCGTGCAACCGTCGAGCCTGATCTTTGACAACGTTAGCTTCATTTATCAAGTTCACCACCTGAAGATGAAGAAGTTATGATATACATATACTAATTTAATTAATCCAACATATTTACTCTTCATATTCCATGCTAGTCCGACTATATATTCTACTTCCGCCGCATCTCGACCGATAGTACGAGACAAATATCATGTTACATTTTTAACATGCCAATCTATTCTTGGCTTAATTTTGTGTGTGAAAATGTGTAATTCCTCGAAATAGTCTAATTGAGTATGTCGCAGTTGTCATTCTTATCTGGGGAGCGGCAATTTAACAGCTCGGTCCATCCCAGGTTAAGGATGGAAGCAAGTCCCCGGATTACTTCAAGCTTTAACCGCTTCGACAAAGGACATACTCTCTGTCGCGACCCGATCAGATTTTAACAGCTTTGCCAGCTTTTGAACTCGCCCCCTTCCCTTCAATGCCCCGTAGTCGGCTCCCTTTCACGAACGTTTTACTGAGAAGGTAGTCTATTCGTTTCAGGATGTAGCAGATATAGTATTTATAGAATACAATTTAGTCATACGAATAAGGTGTAACACAATAAGGTCAAACAGAATGTCATGAGTAAAATAGAGTTAAATACACATAGCACACAATATATAGATTAAATGTAAAAAATGCTAATTCTGAATGTATATAAAAATAAAGTTACATATCTGAATGCTATACAAACAACAAATAATAATCACAACCTTTAGTAAAAACGAAAATATTATTATCAATACGAAACTTAAAGTCATAAGCATAAATAATTATTCACAGACTGAAAACTTATTTACCTGATTGTAAACCGATGGTGCTTCGTCCTTTTCAGCCTCCACTTGGGCCATGATCTTCAAACGAGCAGGGCTCCTGTAAATAAAGTAAAGTACGGCTTATTTTACAAAACTTGGTTTCTCCTAAGCAAAATGATTACAATAAAAAATGAGAAACGACATATGCAGCAAGTAATAATGTATAATCATGAGATTATAAACAGAGATAGTCACAAAAGGCAAATATTTTTAATTGGAGTAACAGCATCCTGTGCTGCTTAAAGTCAAATGTACTGTGTTTATAGATTGGTTAACTGAATTTAACTGCAAGAAAAATGATTAGCTGTAATATAATAATAATTAGCTTCTGCATATTTCAGCTAACATAATATGTCAGAACAAGTATTCAGCAAAACGGGTTTATATCGAAGTCAAATTATTACCC